AGACTGCATGTGCACATCAAAATAAATACGTCCCTAACAAGGCTGGCCCTTGTCAGTTGCATTATGAAGCTCATATTGTACTGCAAATGTGCCAAGCTGAAGTAGGTAAAATAACACTGGTAAACAATTAACCAGTGCATACAATAAGCATAAGATTGGCTGACTGTGAGCACTGACTGCTGGGAGAACGCATTCTAATGCGCTCTTGCCTGTACAGAAGGGCACCCTTGCTTTGCCACTTACTGATGTTTCAGACTGAGGTAGCTGGGAGGTGTTTCTGGTGCTAAGCACATTCTGTGACTAAGGAGGCCAAGGCCCCTGAGCAGTGGCTTGTCTGCGATGAACAGCCAGGAAATAACACAAGGGAAAATCATCAGCACAATTAGAAGTGCAGTTGGAATTGCATTGTCAAGGAAGGCTTGTTATACTCCAAAGGAGAAATTAACTAAACCACTTCATTAGTCATGCTGACAGCACAAAAAAATAAATAGCAGGCAAGAAAAAAATACCAGCCTTGAAGTAAAAAGTTTGCATTTCTGAAAAGAGAAATGTCATTTGTTAATGTATCTTTCAAAAATCCTTTCAGAACATAGCAAATGCCTAATATCTTTATATTGTAAAGGGGTTAAGGTTCCAAGTGATGAATTACAAAATGTATTTTTATATATTTTTAACTTCTTTAAGATATGACCCTTGTTTAACAGTTGGAGAACAGTTATCAAATCTGTAATATAAACATTCACCATTTTAAACTCTTTATAGGAAATTCTCTCTTTTAGACATGGGTTATTCTTCGCTGCGTGGCTCCACTGAAACTACAGTGGAACAGCATCCTAAATATAACCTACCCAGTGCAGGATAGAGACTATCTTTGAAGGGCAGTTCTTTACTGCAGATTCTCTAAGATTTTCATCCCTCCACTCCCAGATAGATCTTACAGAGGGACCTTGTCAGGAAACTAAATCAGTTTCTCACAAGTGTAGGTGCATCCAATTTTGGTTCATTGCTGCTGTCCCTAAGCAACACCCTCCATACCTCTATGACTTCTTGGTCTTCCAAGAGAGCTGAACAGAGTTTTTTGTTTGTTTAAGAGATGGATGTAGGTCAAGCATGCTTGTGTATGTGACTGATACAGAGTCAGTTTCCAGCCCAGGTAATTCTCACTGAGCACATGAAGGACCAACTGCATCTCCCTGCCCTAGAGACAGCTGTTCAGTGACAGTCAGTATCTATGACTTCTATTCTCCCTCTTGTACAGTAAAACCTTCCAGATAAAAATCTTGTGGGTATCAGACAATGGGTGCAAAAATATTACAGCTTCAGTTTTCCCTTAAATGAAAATTCAGCAAAAAAGTAATCAACCCATCTTAATTATGACTAAATATAAAAACCATACAGTAGATGTGTGTTCATGTATCTATATATGAATATTGTATCTAAAACAATAGCATATGGTAACATTTACAAATGTATTGTGGCTTCATTTCACCCTTTCACTGCTGATTCCTTTGGTCCTGATGCAATGCCTTTTCACTCCTGACCACTCCCAGCTACTTTTGGGAACACAAGCTTCCTGAGAGCTACTCTGCATCTCTGTAGGTGTGAACCAGGCGCAATATGGCAGGCAGATGCAATTTCTATGTCTCACAATCAAACACACTTCAGGCACAAAAGATAAATTTGTTTAAAATTCCTCCAATTCACATTACTGGTTGGATAATTTAGGTGTCAGAAAGGTTGCGCATCAGTGTAATGTCTGGTCATGTGACAAATACCTGATATTAAAACCTCACAGTTACAGTTATGAAATACCTGAGATTTAAAGGTCAGAAGTGGTTTTCCTCCATTTCTTTGAGGAAGTTTCAAAACTCCAGCATTCAGCCACACGACACTCTGAAGTTCAGCTGCCACTTTGATCTGACAACAGCCTATTTGAAGATGCTCACAGAGGCCTAGTCCCTTTAATTGTGGGAAGAATGATATTCTTGTTCACTCTCACAGGCATGGATTAGCCACCAGTTAATAAAGGTTTTCTTTTGGTTAAATTAAGCTTGAAAAGAGAAATAAAAGTCTTGAAGCAAAATTGTTAGAACTTTCCAATCTAACTAAAAATTTTGACATGTCATTTTGAAAAGCCTACAGGATTATAAAGGCGCTTGTGTGTCTGGTAAGATGTGTTAAAAGCTGTTCAACTTTCCAAATATGAAAGTAAGTCACATAATACAGATAATTTAGATTATTTTCATAACACCTACTGATCCCAAAGAAAATGCATAGAAGCCATCAGCATAGATGATAGAGAGCAATTGAATGCTATTACACTGGTTTGCTCCACTGTTACCTTTTTCTAAAAAAGCTATTATGATCTTTTGAGTCTTTTACCATATATGGGTCCAACAGCTAAATCAGAAAAAAAAAATTCCTGTATTTTTAGAGAGCCACTGGATCTAAGATTATTGGCAGAGAAAAATTGCAGCACAGAAAATTCTGTCTTGGAGAATGAAGACGTTTGACATTATATTTGCTTCCTGATAGAAATAGTCAAAGAAATGTTCTTGAAGCTAATTGCAATTGTGGCTGATTTTTACCAATCCTTTACTGATAAAGGATAAATAAAATAAAGTTCACACTTGAACATTTCTGAGAGTTAGCTCACTGTGAGAAACTGCAAGTGTATTTCTAGATAATCTGAGGACACCTGAGGATGCCAGAGGCATTTCTGAGGCAAAATGCAAGTTGTGACACTCATTCCTTTCCTTCAGAGAAATAAATAAATCTGCAGCTCTTCTTTGGTCAGAACTCAATAGACTGAACCTAGCCACAAGGTTGGCATTTGAATCCATACTTCAGGATAGATGCCAGCACAATTTTGCTAGTCTAAAATGTCAGGGACATAAACAACCAAAAGAAAAAACATGTGGTGATACTCAATCTAGTTTGAAGAATCCTAGCAGGATTAAATTCAACTCCTTATCAGTTTAATTGAACATTTGCTGTGGAATGTAGAGAGTGCAAAAGTGAGCATTTGTGTATACTTTGAATGCCACCTTCCAAACTGGATCATTAGCTCTAGCTGCTAACAAAGTACTGCTATTAAAAATAAAAAGACATAAAATCAAAGTCCATTTCTCCTAATGGGAACCAAGTCAGTGGTTTTCACCTTGGCAAAGGGTGGAGTGGAATTTGTGTCTACCCAGCAACACACCCAGAGAAGCCCACAATCACCAGGGACAAGGTTAAGGCAGTTCAGTGTCTGTGCTCAGTGTAGACCCTCCCCTGTTCAGGGAATGTCATTCCTGCTTTCCTGAACTCCGCCTGCAGTATCTAGAGGAAAGCAGGCTCGCATTGTCTTCCACTGCTAGCCCCAGGAAACATGATATCATTCTCAAACAAAAGCGGGAAAGCTGACAGATCTATTGAGATGGGTGTGACTACAGCACACACCTCGCTGGTCGGCCCCTGTGGAAAATTCAGTGACTGGCAGCTCATCGGCAATGGGCTGTCTGTGCTCGCCACATTTTAATGTCTGCAAATGACTTGTTTCTCCTGCACTTGTGACTTAATGAACGTCATTGCTGTCTGTGTCAGACACGTATATGACACCATGCAGAGAAACAGGAGGGACAAGGAAAAAGGTTGGAATAACTGGACTTTCTTTTCTTCTCCATCCATAATGCTCACAGCACCAGATATTTTCAAAAAGTATAAAGCTGGAAGTGATCTGAGGACTAAATAGGTCGAATCCATGTGCAGCTAAACAACCAAGAAACTGAAGCCATGGAAGAGGAGTTGGCAATAACAATATGCATCCTATTACAGCAATTGCTAGATAAGAATATTTCCAAACATGATTTCAGCAGATTAAAAACTTTTTTTTTTTTGGTCTGCATTAACCTCTAGCCTTTTATCGATGCCAAAAGTAACATCTCAAACTCACAATTTTATTGTTAACAGCTGTTAGCATGCTGCTAATCAGGAAGATCTGTGCAAAGCAATCATGAAGAAAGTTGCATGGAAATGAGGACTTCTGCCTTTTCTTCCTAATTTCTGGTTTTCATTGCAGGACAATTTCCAGTTCTACAGCACATTACATTTTCACTGTGAGATGGACTGGATCTATATATATCTCAATACAATGGTCAGGGGTGAGTTAAGAGTCTAAGGTTATCATATGACTTGTATTTTTCTTTTACATATTTTTACAGAAGAAACTGACTAGAGAATCAAATGGAGGATTGTTAAAGTGATACTCAAATGTGGAGCAACTCTGAATCTGATGGCAGGACAGTCGTCCTCAGGGCTCTGCATGTGATAGATTCAGCAAGGTATCTCAAACATAATTGCTGAAATTACTGTTAGCTAAAGTTGAATCAGTATATTTCTGTATACCTTTCTACAGATATCTCTTATGGCAACTTCTGACTTGCTGAACTAATGACATTTCCTGATAATACTATATAAACATATTTGAAGTGGTTTTAATTGATCTTGTATTTTTCCCCTTTTTGCTCACTGACTTCCATCTAAATTCCACTTGTGGAATATTGTCTAAAATCAGATACTGGAATAGTTACACACATCAAGTGTACAGCTAGTTCATAAAATCAGTCACAGAAGAAATTGACATTTAATCTGTATTTAGAACAGATTTCTTAGGGAATGACACCAATGGTTTTAAAGTTATCAGCTGTATGAAAAAAATTGTGCCATTAGACAGGACAAAAACCCCTGCTGCAACATGTGTCAACAAATTCAATAGTCGAAAGTGGCAGCAGTGGATGCTACATGTAGTTAAATCACCCCCAGTTGCTTGGCCCCAGTCCTGCCCTCACTGGCTGTAAGAGCTCTGCACAGAGAAGTGGAATCACTGAAACAAACATTAGTACTTAAATCAGTAAACGTAGACGTTGGAGTGAAGAGTAGACAGGGTAGGTGTATACTGTGTGAAAAACAAAGAAAGGTATGACAGGTCCAGTACAGCAATTAAAGACAAAGTTTACCTGAAATCAACAGGCTGAATCCACAGAGAACTAGGTGTGCTAGAGGGTCCATGCTTTCCAAAATGTATCCATCCAGTTCTTACAGTTGCTCATGGAGTATCCTTTCCCCGGGGTAGCCCTTTAGCAGTTATTCTTGTCCTGCATGGTACGCTGTTTACAAGTCACAGGCAAGAAATCGGAGCACTGGCGCAGGCTGGAACAGTCTCATTGCTGTCTGAGTACAGGGAGTTTAAGTTCCTTTTTCCTGTTTCCTTTGTAGATTAGGATGGGAAAGGCAGGATCTTAAAGGCATTTTTGTATCAGCAGGACTGCAGGGCAGTGCAAATCCCGTCCATCCAGCAATACATCAAAACAATTATCTGGAGCTGCGGGAGAAGCAGGGGACTGCTGTTGTTCATAGTCAGCAGAAAAGGAACAATGATGGCATCCTCCAGTAGGCGGGAGAGGGCAAGTAAAACATCCTCCACCTAGGTACAGTAGGTGGAAAGTGTTAGTGTCTCCTTCTTGGAGACCAGGTCTGCTAACTTCTCAGGGTGCTATTGTGTTTTCCCTTATTTATTTAATCCACATGTGAGCTGCTGGCTGCAATGCATTTCTGCACACAATAATGAAAATATGAAGTAAACAGTAACAAAGCAGCCAGCTGAATCCAGTATAGACCAAATCCATCCACAATCCAGTGAACTACTCCCTTAGTTCATGTGTTTTATTGGAAACAATTTTTCTTTACATTTGACAATTGGAACCAGACTGAAAACTTGTTGCAATAATAAAGCTCACACAGAGTTATTATGACTTCAGTAGGATTAAAATGCCCATATCACTCAGGGAGGTATAACAAAACCCAAAGAAAAAATACAAAGAAAAGCAGAAAAAAAATTTTAAATAAATGGAAAGGCAGCACTCAAATATATAAACTGAACTGAAAATAAAGAGCAATCTTATTTACCACTTTACTAAACATGATCCATTGCAATATAATATTTGGAAGTTCTGTAATCCTGCCAAGATGCCAACAGCCAGAATTACTTTTATGGAAGTACAGAAAAAGGAATGTTCAACTTAATTTTGGAAAAAGGGGCATGGGTTTATCCTACTTTAATTTAATTTCCTTTTAGCTTTGGCTTGTAATGTAGATTTCACAGAGGCAGTCCTTCATACCCAAGATCTATTGCCATGTGGAGAGAAGTGTTACATCCACAGAAAATGGGAAGGCAACAGCCCAGAGTTCCTCACCTGTGTGTCTCCTGGCCCTCCATATAACTGAAAGCCAAATCAAGTAGAAATTTATACTGAAAATACTCTTTGCGGGCAAAAACACAGTATGAGGTACAAGCATCACTAAAATTCCTTTTTGATGCTTAAAGGAGGTAGAATATAAGATATTCATGTGGTTTTGTTTCAGACTAAAAAAACCCTATATATATATATTTTGTCCATTTTAGTTTTTGGAGAACATCTACTCTTTTTTGACTCCTAGATGTAAAGCAGCAGTGATTAACCCTTTCCAATTGGACCTTATCTTTTATAAGTCTGCAAGCAACAATCCCTCCAATATCAGAATACTTACTGTATTAGCAGATACTAAGTATTATCATACTTCCTATCTTGTGGAAAACTGTTTTGTCATTCATTTAACCTCTTTATAAGTTGGCCAATCCTCAATTAGTTTTTAATATCTTTTAATTTGTTGAGGGATGGGGAGCAGGGAGGAAGGAGAGGGGAGTTAAGCAACTGCAGTCAAGGCTGTGGTTCTTCAGATTGCTATTCTAAATTTAGAGCGGTTTTTAAAGTTTTCACTTAAATCTCACTTTCCTGCTGAGGAGAAATGTGTCATGTCTCCATTTGAAATACACCTAGATACAAAGCAATGCTCCTGATACTGATTTTGCAGTATGAAAAATGAGCCAGGTGAGCTGTTCATTCTTTCTGACGAACTAACTTATATTACTGATCATTTAATCTGCCATACAAGGGGGTTATTTATCTCCAGGACAGAGTGGACAGGCTGAATATGCAGCATTCCACAAATTCAAGAAGGTTGTGAAGGCCTGCTGAAGCCGGAAGAGAGGAGATACATACTTACCCAAGTCAGAATTTGTTTAGGGTACCAGCATCAGCAGGACTGTGTATTCCTGTTTCATTACAAAATTTCATTTTCAAAGAAATAAAGAATGCCATCTATAATTCAGCCAACAATAATGTACTCCACTTAGGTCTGTTTCTATTTGGAAAGCTTTTCAATGCCACAGTTTAAATACTCCTCCCACTGAAGTCAAAATGAATCACATGATAAACTTTGTCTACTGCAGAATTTAAAGGATTTCAATATTCTGACTTACTCTCACTCAACATTAAGTTGAGTGAGAGTAAGTCAGACCTATATGTGCTAGGTCTACCTTTATTATTTTCATCCTTATATTTCATGAGACTAGAACATAAGTATTTTTAAGGTAGGTGATATCAAATTTTTGTCCCATGAATTAAAAACTGTATGATCTGATCACCCTCTGATTGGTGATTGTCTGTCCCCACCACCAAAGAGAGAGTCCTTAGCTAACAGGGATACTGATACAGTCTCAGCTGGGACTCACTATTAATGAGCTGAAGGATTCTAAATAGCCTTTGGCAAAACCAGATGGCCAGAAAAACAAACTGGGCTAAAAGTAAGGATGGCACAAGGAATAAAATATGGTACTGAGTTACTCTAACTTTTATTCCATGTCAGGCTGTTGACTACCAGGCTGTCCAATGAGCATCCTTGCTATATCCTCAGTCAGGTATGTAGCTGTATTTTGGCCCCTTAGGCCACACTCTCATATTTTCTAAAGGTACTTGGAAAGACTCCAAAAATTTCAAAAGTGTTCCCTTCTAAAACATCAGGTTTTTTTGTTGTTAACTGTTGATTCAAACATATTCACATCTTAACCCCCGACAAAATGGCATGCATGAATTCAAATTAGTTGCAGCAGGGAAACAAATTTTCTTCCAACATGTAAATAGAACCCTAGCATTAAACATGGCTCTTCATAAATCTCTTTGCTGAAGGCTAATTTTATGATATGTCAAGTGGCCTGAACTCCTGACACCAGGCTTTCCTCCTTAGATAAGCAGCATAGTTGTCTCAAGGACAACCCATTCATACATGCTGTACCACATGGAAATATGTGAAGAGGAAAAAGAAACAATGCCACTATACTTTTTAGTCAGGTAGATGTGTTAGCAGAAATCACATATCCTCTTGCAGTGTCTGGTTGTATTCTATTTTTTGGAACCAGGCCATTAATTTGGCCTTGATGTGATGTTAATTTGTTAGTAGGAGGCAGTAAAGGAACTTCAGGAATTATTACTCATCACAGTCAGCTAATGTGAAACAAAGGTTCACAAATGATAGGGTTTAAGCTTAATTTCCCAAACAGATCATGTTCTCCTCTGCAGCATGTCCTGTGCCACTGAGGCCATCTATAGCCCCTAAGCCATCTATCTGGGACCACCTGGAAGTGAGAGGTAGCAGCCAGGAGGCCAGGCAGAGGATACGTGCAGCTGCTGGTGCAAGCACTCAGGATGAGCACTGCCCTACCACTTCAGTGGCAGAGGCAAATGCAGGGAGGTAAAGGTTTCTGGGGCACATGCCATGCAAACATGGATAGGACAGTATGGAGCAATGGTGCTGTTGAAATGGGTAGCTTTGAGAAACTTTAGATGAGGTAGAGAAGGTAACAGTGGTTTTTGCTGCACCTCATTCTGAGGAGGTGCAGTTTCTTTATGCTTTTTCTACTGCTTCTCCTGCATATGCATACTTAGAAGGCAATTCAGGGTTGTAAACATAGCTATGATCCACTTGTTTTGCTCCGTATTTTTGTTTTCTTTTCTAAGAAATGAGTCTGTGTATCTGTGTTTAATGGCAGCAGTTGTATATCCAAATATCTTTAAGATATTGATATTAAATCTCCCCAAATGATGTACAGAAATACTACTACTGCTGCTTAAAGTAAAAGGGTATGAACAAGGCAAATTTAATATTTTTTCCATCTGAAGAAATAAAGATTAATTTCATAAGCCTCTTAAAACATGTGATCTTTGAAGACCGGACTATTGTTTTCAAGGACCAGGAAATGGGTCATGTCAACTGGATCTCAGGGGTAGTGTTCTCAGCCATTAGGGTTACAGAAATTCATTCTTAATATCCTGTTTGCAGGACCTACTATCTTCCCTGACTTATTATCACACTGTTAGTATGATTTGATGGTGCTTTTTAATGGTGATTTTAAACAAGTACAACTTAGTGATAAATTTGCTGTCTACCTGCCTCCTCTTCCAAATTTGGGATTAGAAATCTTACAGAAATCTTGGAAATCTGAAGGCTTCATTTAGAATTTTGTCTCTCATGCATAACTGTTAAAGTCACTGATGCAACTGATAATTTCTACTATAGTCACAATTTTATTTTTCTTCTTAATTTTAAGAAGTGCTGAGCCCCTCTTACATCACAAGTATTTGTGGGCAAACTTGAGTTGTATGTTGGAGACAGAGGTCTTGTACCTTACTCATCCTTTGCTGCACAGCGGAAATCTTGAGGCTGATACAGAGATACCAGTGTTCAGTGAATCAAGTTCAGTCACTTTAAATGAACATAGCTTTCAAGGAATTAGCTCTACAAGAGGAAACAAGAGTGGATAATTTTACATTTCTGGCTCTTTTTCTCTCTCTCTCTTTTTTTTTTTTTTTTAATGTGGAGCATTTCCTCTTATTTCACACATTTGGCATATTGTCCAGTTAGTCCTCCTTCCTTAAAGGAGGACCTCTAAGTGTTGAGCACAAGTCAGGGTACAAACGTTTCTTCCTTTGTTCCAAGATTCTGTCAATCACAACAAATGATTGATCAAAGCTGGGATTTGAATTCAGATAATCTCTGTAGTAGTGATTGCTTAAGGGCTTCCTTCCTCTTTAATCAAAACCACAAAGATTATAACTATTTTGTTTGGGAGGAATCCAGTTCCTTCTGGATGCTTGACCTGCATTTCAGAGCCTTGCTCTGCACACACAAGACATGTATCATGTGGTGTTCAGGTGCTATTC